GAAACTGAACTCACGTTCAACAAAAAATTCAAAACTTGAGGTTACAATTTTTCTAATTCTGTACTCTGAGATATGAATGAACGCGCCTATGGTAGATTTTCGATGCCGAGTAACTATGACAATAGATAAGTGCATTATTGTTATGGCCTGCATCTTCTTCAGTGGAAATCATTAGGATTTTTCTTCTTTATCTATCGAGTGATACATATTTACTCATGTTCTTCTTCATTTCTCTTGTTGTTAGTCATGCACCAAGCATTTTTTCTTTCGTGTCATGTATGTTAGATCATTCCATTTTTTCTGTTCTTCTTTTTTTCATGTTGTTTCATGGGCTTTATTGGCTATTTTCATCATTTATGGGATTTTTCATTTATGGATATTTTCACCCTTGCTATCATCATATAGGTAGATGTTAAATCTTTGCAAAACAGTTAGATAAAGATACGTATAGAAACGATGCTCGAGTGGGATTAAGACCTTATAATTATGTTTCATTTACTGACTTTCTATTTCAGATCATAAACGATCGTGTTTGTAGCTGTTTTCATTACCTCTTCAGTACTGATAACTGTTTTGTTTCATCATTTACGTTTTCATTCAGTTTGTGAGTATTGTTAGATATGTGCATATAGGGTTTTTCCTCGTTAGCTATGGGAATTTTCCCAGTCATTATGTTCTTCTTTCTTTTGTTCGTTTTTATGGAATTTTCCATTGGGAATTTTCCAACGGTTGTTATCACTATATATAGTGTTGCGTTGTTGTTTAGAAGAGATGTTTTTAAAGAGACACGTTTATAGAAATAAAATAGAAGTGAGAACAACATCTCAAGTATTTTCATTTTGATAACTTAGAAGAAGGGCTATGCACGGAAGTACTCGAATAAACAATAAAAGAAATCTTTACTACCTTTCTCTCCAATCGACTGTATATTAGGATTCATTCAGTACGCTGGCACTTGCTTATAAGACCACATTGACGTTAATCCAGCGAGTTTTATAGGAGAGTAAAAAGCTAGACGTACACATATTCATGAACATCCTGCAAGGGAATTGTGTCTCAAAAATACGAGGAAAAGAATTGTCGTACGTATCCACCACCATACCCTTTTGTCTATTCACTAGACTATTTTTCGCGATCAGTGTGCTACCCAAATTGAGACACGTGAAACGACAAATAAGAATCTAGTTCTTTTATTTTCTGAGTATATATACGTGGTTAGAAAACTAATTTAGATTATAAAAGGTCTATACTATGTTTTTATCTGTATAATAAATATTAGTTATTCTCTTTGTATATTTCATCAATGAACGAGACTAACAATGGCAGCATACATTCTTTCATTGATTTTGATCGGCGAAATACATTCAATGTTTATGTCGGTCTTATTCAGAATTTGTTGTTTCTTACTTTTTTTCTGCAATCATACTATCATTTTATTAATGAAGAAAACATTACTTCAAGTGTTACATGTTTTCTGAAAAGATTGAACTTTAAGAAAGCTGATTGGTTGATAATGAATAACCACATATATTTCTTGAGATACATTGTTTCATCTTATTTAGTTCATTTTCGTATACGCGTTTGTCATTTATGGTCAGAGAGAAGCTCCTCCAACATTTCAGTCATAGATGAGTACACATGAGACTGTCATTAATGTACAGTAGTATCTTTCTACTAATGTGTTCTCGACAGATTACAGAGAAAAGGATTCGAAAACCACTGTAGGAAAGATAAACAAAAAAGCCTATTGTAAATCAGGTGAGTACAGAAGTGAAATGAACGAATTTTTCTTCGATTTATTCTCACATTGGCTTTGACTACATAATACTATTGGAAATCAAAACGATATTATCTAGTCTATGAATGTTTGTTTTTACATGTAGAATTCAAATGGCACTCCGAAGCGTGACAGTGACAGCTCCAGATTTATATACAGCTAATAAAATGGTGTTAAAAGCAATGGAAGACTTCGTCGGAGACACAACTAATATTAGCCGTGCTGAAGTACCAGAAAATGCGAAGAAATTTATCATCGAGAAGCTCACACAGTCACGTCCTTTATTTGAATTTTATAAGAGTATCAAAGACAAAATCGTTCAAGTCGATGCAATATTCTCAGGAAAAATCAACCAACAAACGACGGTCAATAAACAAGGAGATACATGGAACATGAAGTTTACGATTGATGTTGACGTACCTCCCTCTGATAGCTCGCAAAAAAAACACATGGGTTGGGAGATTCACCTCAAAGGAAGAAAATTACAAGTGGGTCATGTCGAGTGTGAGGCCGTGACAGTGGGTAGACCTGGATTGAGCTCTACCATGAAGCAAAATAAGATTCTAGGGTTAGACAACAAATTGCCGAATGGAGATGAAGTGTCATGGGAGTGTATAACCTATACTTTACCATAGGACGGATAATTTTTTATTGTAATTCTCGAAAAGGTTTTATGTTTAATTAACTTGACTCATGATCAATAAACACGATGCTTAAGAAATCAAGTCTGCGAGATTGTGAGAATGGAAGTCTTCCCTTCCACCAACAACATCTTCAATTGTTCATATCAAGATATTTATGAATTTTGATTAGGTTGCTCTTCAACAAGCTCAACAATTAAACAATACTTCGAGTTTTACGAAACTTTTTTTCTATGTACATAAATAGACGCTAGGTTTTCGTTTACTTTGGAATGATGTAGTTTGAAAAGGCGACGAGCCATGTCAACAGAACGTTTAGCATATTCGATAGGCTTAGAATAATTGTGAAATTGATGCTATATTGAATTCACAACTAATGATGAATAATTACTATAAAGTAAGTTATTGTATTTAAAAAGTCTTTTATCAATTGATATCGGTGTGGATATGGATGCGTTTCTACAATCCGTAGCCACATTCCTTTTTGAAAATTATAAAAGCAATAAACAATTCCATATTAGCATCTAATTGTACTGAGAAAAAGTATATATTTCGAAATACCAAACATTGAAAGGCATGACTCCTCTACCATTTAGTACGGCACATCGAGTTTTATGATTGTTTCTTAATTTATTGAAGGTAAGTAGAAATGTTGATCATTGCCGAATTTTTTCTCAATCGATCAACAATATTGTTATTAATGAGAAATATTCATAAATATCAAATGAAAATCAGTACGCTCTCTGAAATCGATAAAAGCAATAGAGAATCAAAGTAGTTGTAAAACTGGGAGATATTTCTAATGGACATAAATCAGCGTTTACCATCTCTATCGTTTGATTATTCTCTTCGAAGAAAGTATTAAAATTACCAAAATTTGAAAAATCTTTACTTTAAAGTTATACTTGATTGAATTATTCAGAGCTCTTTTTTTCTTTGTTAGTAACTCGATAAATGATATCGTGCGTGATTAAAAAATGATACTATTTCAAGTATATAAATTAATTGATATAGTTCAGACTCAGTCAATCATTGATAAAATTCATAACTGCATTCAATAGTCACAAGATTTTCGCTTATCATGCAATGATATAAACTTTCAGCGTAGAAATGATGTTGCATAAAATAATCAAATCTCTATCATCTGAATCATTTCATTGGGGTTACGATTCTTTTATGAATAGGGTGGGATGTTTGGTGTGAATGAGTATGGGTTGTAAATATAGGAATGATGCAAATCCCATGAGCACAATTATATCTACACTCAGTCACACTAACACCCTCAAATATTCTGTATTTTTGTAGTCTTAAAAAGAAATATTTTTGTTTCATTTGCATTGCAATATATGTATCAAGTTTCGATGTATATAATTGATCATTTATTTCCTTTTTCTTGTTCTTATTCGAATTCTTGATACTCTATACATGCGAACATTTTCTTTTCTAATTTTAATCATTAAAGTGATAGCATCCATATCAACATATTGTCTTGCTCATATTTAGTAGTAAAACCTATTAAAATTCAGAAGCAGATCCAAGTTGATCTTCATTCTTCAAAAAACTTTTCCATGTCCTGAAGAAATACGGATTATTCTCACAAGTTGAAAATCACGTCTTACTAATGTTGTTTTCTCTCTCGGAAAGCCACTAAATTCTACAAAAAATCCATATGATATAATCATTAAGGTTTTTTTAATTTTCCTATCTCCTTTCTTGCCCTTTTTGTATGATCTAGAGCTATTAAAGAAGTATTTGGGACAACTGTTTACTGTCACTCATAGTTTCTTGACATGCACAACCTTTACAAACAAATGTTAAAGTGTTTCAATTTTCATTAACATACAATATCGAATGAATGCACAACAACGACCTAATATCATCTAGTACATTCTTATTGATTACGTTTTTAAATGATCGTAAATCATTTAGATAAACTATATCTAACAATAAAGCAGTTTGATTTATGATAGTCACCTTTCTTTTACACAAAAAAATAGTTTAAATCAATTTTATACTAAATATTAATATTCAAAAGGCTGTTTATTTTTCAATATTGCGTACGTATAATCTAGACTCTATATTTTGTTTTTTCGACAGATTTGATGACAATTTCTTTTCGTTAATAAAGTGAACATAAACTAATATTTATCAAAACAATAAGCAATAAATAAACGTACAATTTCATTAAGAAAATAAAACAAAAAACGAAATCTGAATTTATATAATAAGTATATTTTACTTCTGTTTGATACACTTGCTAGTTGAAACACTACTTTATGCAATCAACGTTGTTTTTTTTAAATATAAATATCATACCATATAAAAAGAAAATATTTTTGATTGGTTAAAATGTCGTTTTCATTATTCGCATGGTAAGTGGCGTTACTTATCGCTTGCTAAATATTAACAAGCAAATCAACATTTATCTAAATGACTCAGTCATTGCGGCAGTCGATTCTTCGTCTGGTTCTTTCTATTTCTTGTTAGTTAGTTCTTTCTTTCTTTCTTTCTGGAAAAGAACTCTCGTCATTTCTAGTTTGTTTATAATAAATACTGGTATTTATTGTAGAGGTCATATTAATATGTCTCGAAATTCTCATATTGAATTTAAAATTAATAGTTCAAAACGATCGAAAATTAATCCTAATTTATCATCTGCTGTTCAATTTGATTCAACAACAATATCTGATAATATTCCACAAGAATTTATTTCCAGTCTTGATAATGGTACAATAAAACCTAGTAATGTTTCTATATGCACATCTAAACGTTCCATTCCTGTTCAGCCTAATACTCATCATGATATTTTTAAATATAAAAAAACTTGTCGTAAATCTTTTATATCGTCAGATCCTATTGTGAATGTTTTAAATAACAATTTACAACAAATTAATATTGATGAAACAAAATCAAATAATGATAATGAATCCATTCATGTACATATTATAGAACAAGATCATCTTAGTAATACATTAGAAAATGATATTGAAAATGCTGATTATGATCAAGTACCTATTGAAGATTTTGGTATGGCTGTTATGCGTGGTATGGGTTATAATGAAAATACTGGTCTTGGTAAATCAAATAAAAAACAAGTTGATATATTTCAACCAGAAATACGACCTCATGGCCTTGGATTAGGAGCAGATCGAGAAGTATTAATAAAAATAAATAAATTAAAACGTAACTTAAAAGAAGCTGGTATTAATGAAAATGATGATTTATATTTTGAAAAAGAAGCTTCTGTTTTTATTGAAAAAGGTTCATTGTAATTTAATATCGTACAATAGTATCAATTAATGAAGATCTTAAATTGTAATGATGTTAAATTGACTATGGATGATAATATAAATGAAATAATTTCTGTTTCACAATATAATGTTAAATTATTAATTGAAAAAGAATTTCTTAAACATAGTAAATATGTAAAATAATTTTTTAATCCGGATATTTTTTTTTAAAAACTATTGAAATAAAATAATTCCCATTGATATAGTAATTATTATTTTTTTTTTTTCTAAAAAATATGTTTCTTTTTAAGATGCTTCCTCAATTGAAAGACTTTAATTGGTATATTGATATGAAATTATTACCAGGCGCCAATGGTCAACGTATTCAGCAACCATCATGTGTTCTTTCTTTAGATGTTTGTAGAGGAGTTTTAGTTTTTTTAATTAACATATGAGGTATTTACTGTTTTCTTTTTCAAATAGATGAATGATCCAACAAAATCCGATGGGGAAAATGAAAAATCTGTTCAAATTGAATTATCAAAAGAAACACTTAACCTTGTCTTGGATAATTTTACGCGAATTCGTGAACAACTTAATACATTAGCCAAACGAGAATAAAAGATTTTTTTATAACTGCAATAAAAATGTGATTTTTCTCTTTTTTTTTTCTTTTTATTAATTTGATTTGTCCTTGATGAAAAGATAAAATTACTTTCCAATGATATTTCGTTTATCTCTAGAGAAAAAAAGAACGGAACATGCATAGACATTCAAAAAATCGGCGTCATGGTGATCCCGTACAAACACCTGGCAGTTTAACGGATCAACTCAATCAAGATCGAAATGTTACGAATACAAAAAATCGACAAAAACAAAAACGAAAACATGATGATGATGAAGAAGAAGAACAAGTTTGTTGAGAAAAATTTTTTTATTTAATAAATATACATATATATACATAAATTGTAATTCTTATTAGATTATTGATGATCGTCTATCAAGAAAAATTATTCAACAAGCTCGAGAACAACAAAACGAATTTGATAATGACGAACTTTTAGCTATCAGTAAAGAAGAAATGTAAGAATATAAAATAAGATGAATCTACAGAGGTGTCCTGAAGTCAAGACTATGTGCATTACGTAGACCAAATTAACTATGAATATTATGAAAAGAGTTTAGACAGTTAGCTTCTATCCTAAGATACAAATTATAGTAACAGCCAGAGTCTATCAAGTCCAAGAAGTTGCAGGCCCAGACCCGATGAGTTGTAGTAAAAGCATGTCTTTTACATCGTTCATATCAACCAGAAAATTTGATGTTCTTATATCAAGATAGGAACAAATCAAAACAATTTAAACTATTCTCGTTAAGGTTTGTCTCTATGCAAAGTTCCAAGTCAAAATTTGAAAATCAGTTATTCTGTTACCACATCATTCATTTAAAGAATACCGTAAAAGTGCAGCATCTCCAAAGCAATATACACTAAGGACACAAATTCTTTTCAGGATACTCATATATCATTTGGGTCTACATAACTGTTAGGCTATTATTAATATTAAACAAATTTTTTTTTCTAGAGATCCTGAATCAATAGAACGTATAAATAAAATTAAAAAAAATCGAACTGAAGATAGCGATGAAGACGATTTAAATGTTCAAGAAGATGATTATGATGATGAAGAAGTCTCAGTAAGAAAAATTCAATTAGAATTTTTCGTTTTTCAATAATAATTTATTTACAGATCGATGAAGAAGATGAAAAAGCACTTGAAGCATTTATGAGTAGTCAACCACGACGTTTACTCGGTGATATTATTGCTGAAAAACAAACACAAAATCAATCATCATGTAATTAATTCATAATCTAATAATAATAAATTTAATTTTGTTTTCTAATTTCTAGCTGATAATGATCTTGATCCACGTATTTCCAGTATGTATGAACAAGTTGGTCAAATTCTTGCTCATTATCGAAGTGGTAAAATACCAAAAGCATTCAAAATTCTACCAAATTTAGCTAATTGGGAACAAGTACATGATTGTTTTTAATGAAAAATAAATAAAAATGATTTCTTTTCAGGTACTATTAATAACACAACCAGATCGATGGTCTGCAGCATCTATGTATCAAGCAACACGAATATTTGCTTCAAATATGGATGCTAAAATGGCTCAAAGGTAGATTTTCATATAAAAGATCATCATTTTTGTTTTTCTTATTAAAATAAATAGATTTTATAATATTATTCTACTCCCACGTATTCGTGATGATATTGATGAATACAAAAAACTTAATTTCCATCTTTATATGGTAAGTTTTTTTCTAAGTAACGAAAAGAAAATAATAATTATATTTTGTATAGGCATTAAGAAAAGCTTTATTTAAACCAAGTGCCTTCTTCAAAGGCATTATTCTACCGTTATGTGAGGTAAAATTTCTTTTTTAAATAACATGCGAAGAGAAAAAAGGCTTCAAAGTAATATTAAATTCATATTGCATTTTACAAATAGATTCTTTAAGTTCTATGAAAAAAAACCACTTTAGTTTAATGTTGATCAATTCGCTATGAGTAAGTCAATTCTAGTTAGTTCGAGTAAAAGTTAATGTTTAATTCTTCACATATAAATTGAAATTATAGAAAATTTCAATTGATTCTATGAGCCAACGAACTTTGAATCATAGCTTATTGCTGCTTGAGATATTGCACTTTTACGGTACTTTCTAAACGAATAATCGATATAAAGATCTGAAATTTTAACCAAAGCCTGTTTCTATGTAAAATTTTAAATCGAAACGAGAAAATTTCATCTTTCCTAGTTTTCCTGAAGGAAACGACGCTATTGTATTAAAAAATATTATAAAAGCGCAATATCTTGGCACTAGTAAGCTAAGGCCACGAACTCTTTTTAGGATATTCATAGCTCATTAGGATCTACATGATGCATATCGTTTCGGCTCAAAAGCAATTTATCAATTGAGGTACGTTCCTCGTTAATTCACAGAAAAAAATACCCAGCAGCTAAGCATTCGTTTTTATTCATTTCATTCAGAGCGATTTATCATTTGTTTAATTCAGCCGGAACTGTCATATAGGAAGAAGAAATTATTTAATAATAAGATTGATATGTTTACTGGTTGACACTATTTTTCTTGATAAGCTTAATATATACAGGAATATGATTGTCAAGTTTAAAAAAACCGAACTAGGCTTTCTTCTTTTTAGAATTTCTAATAAGATGAATATATATGATAAAGAATAATAGATAGTGGTATAATTATTTATTGAAATTTTTTACAAATTACTGTTTATATTATCAATCAAAATACCCATTAGAGATATAATTGTAAATATATTAGAATACAGAATTGTGAGCCAATCGTCCAATCGATTTGTTCGATCATTATTAATCGGTGAATCAAGATGGCTTCAAAAGCAGTTATTTTTCTTTTTTGCACTCAAATTTTTACAAATCTGTATAAAGAAATCTCATGTTACAGTTGTTTATATCTATTAGGTTTCTCAAAGATAGATATGTGATATTTCTGCATATAGCGTGGAATAAAAGAGTCATTTGCCTATATCAAATGATTCTTGAAGTTCACTACTTGAACTTGTGCATTCAGCCTTTGTCGACGAACCTGAATCTGACCTGTACTGTAACTAAGCTTAACTCAAGTAACATAGTTTTGATTGCACTTTTTAAAAACTGAAATATACTTCAATTAAAGAAATAAAAACAAATATAAATGAACAGATGAACATAAAACTAATAGTTACGAATAAAAAGCTGAGGGAAAGGAGAGCGAAAATTTTAACGGAATATATTTTGAGATAAAATATCGAGTTTCCGATGTATTTTTTTGCATGCTAATTTCGACAATCATTCTTGTTTATTATAAAAACCAATTCTTGATGACCATATAGACCTTCTCTTTTCAGAAGTTCGAACCATAGTTATAGGTAGCACCATTTTCTTTATTATTTTGATAGACCGTATGAAACTACAGTGACGATAAAAAAACTCAAGACCGGTTACAATTCTGCTAGAATCTACTTCATATGACCTGTTTATATACCATTTAAAAGTACGCACACATAAGATATTTATTTATGATTGTCTAGACATTGATTAACGGTGATTTCCCAAATGTTTTAAATGAAAGATTATTTTATGAGAAATTCTTATGTTTATATTATCATTATTTATAGAGAGAGGTTGATATTTTCGAGAGAAAAAAAACTAATTAGTTTATGTTTTTTTTTCTTTAAATTTTAGTCAGGTACATGTACACTTCGTGAAGCTGTGATAATTGCAAGTATCCTTGCGAAAAATTCCGTTCCGATGTTACATTCAGCAGCAGCTTTATTAAAAATAGCTGAAATGAATTATTCAGGTGGTAATTCAATATTTATTCGTACACTTATTGAAAAACGTTATGCGTTACCATTTCGTGTTGTTGATGCTCTTGTTCATCATTTCATTAAGTATGGATTTTTAATGTTTATTTTATTATTATTATTATTATTATTATTACTATTTTACAATAGATTTCGTTCTGATACACGTGAACTACCAGTTCTTTGGCATCAAGCATTACTTGCTTTTATTCAAAATTATCGACAAGATATATCAACAGGTTTGAAAATTTTTTGCTTTGAAATTATTTTCTTTTGGTTTCTTTTTAAAAGAACAAAAACAAGCATTACTTGAATTATTACATCATCATTTTCATCATACAATTGGGCCTGAAGTTCGAAAATTACTTTCCGAATATAAATGTCGTGATGAAGAAGATGAACAATATGCAATAATGGATGAAGCCGATTAAAAAGAATTTAAAAAAAAAAAAATTGTTTTGTTCGAAATAAAAAAAAATAAAAAAAAAAATGGTTAACATCATTACCATGAGATATTTATCAGTTGTATTATAAAAAGAAAAGAGATGCCTTAGGATAAGAATAATCATTAGATTCGAGTCAGGAAATTTCTTTTTCTTCAAGGACGGATGTCAAATACAAAAGTTTATTTACTGAACTCGAAGACCTTTTTACGAATAAAAAAAAATAATGACAAAATTTAATTATCTTTATCGAAAATTACATTTAATCGAATAGAATTTTTTAGTTTTGTTTTATTTTCTAGTAGCGGATTGAGACAGGGTAGGGTCGGGGTAATCGTTTCTTTCTTCCGGACTATTTTTCTCAGCAGGAAACATCCAAAACTAAGCCGATACAACTTCTAATTTGACTTGGAAACATGTTTTTCTTTTATATGATCGCCCCCATTTACACTAAAAAGCCTTCATTCAACACTGTCATTTGTAATAATAACAACTAAATAATACATTAATCAGACATTAAATAAAAAACATTGATTGTTATTTTCTCTTTTAGATATTATTTTCGCTTCACTGATCATGTAATATTATCAACAATACAGATCAATAAAGGAAAATGTGAGTACGCGGTTAAAAGAAAAAAAAAGGCTAGACGACACGACCAAACATTGCTTTTTATATTCAAGGAAACGAAAAAAAAAGTCTAAAGTTCCGATTTTACATAAGACTTTTCTGCTTACGTGGTTATTTCATATATCAATGAGAGAGCAGAAACAAAATGAAAATAAAGGTGAGATACATATACAGTTAACAAGCTTATTCTAAATTGATAACACCAGCTAAAGGCTATATGTGCCATATTAATAGATAACGAAAGAAATTGTTCTTTTTATTTTTTTTGTCCTTGTTTCCATTTGTTCCGGATGTCTAATCTAAACAAATGTACAAGCTCTGATAAGATCTCTTTTCACATTCTTATATATTCATTCGTAAAAGAACGTTTTATGTCATAAATATATAAAAGTGTACTTCTATAATCAAAAGGAAAAGAGGAAAGAAAAAGATGACAGTAACTGACATCCTTTTCTTTTTTTCTTCTTTTGGCTTATAATAGTACTTGAGTCTAGGAATCGAGCATCGATAGGAGATCAATCGTGCGTGCGCGATTATATATGACTGTACGCGTAGAAAATAAAAAGAAAAAAAAAACACGCGAACGATTCACTATCGAAAACAAAAAACAGGTAACTGTCAAAAAATAGAGGCGAAAAAGAGAAAGAACGAGTGAGCAACTATATTTTTTTTTTTTCTTCGCTATCTTGCACTGTAACCAAACCATACCAATATCGTGCAACCGTGACGAGAGTGCAAAAGAAAAACGTCATCAAGGCTTAATAACTAAGTTGAAGAAATAGAAAAAAAGAAAATATTGAATAGTACATATTTTTATTTGGCCTATCCAACAGGAAATAACGTTGCAATTGTTGCATGCTCGACTGAAATAGTGATAATAGAAAATCAACGACAACAAACAGCTCGCTGTGGATTAGCTATCGTTATCGAAAGCAGAATGAAGTGGAAAGAAAAGAATGACTTATCTTGGTGTTGTGTTGTTTGTCGTCGATACAATGACGACAATGAAGACGACATCAAAGATGCTAACAAGCAAACAGCAAAAGTGGTACTAATGGAGAGATCAACAGACAAAGTCTCGTCACCGGTTGAAAAAGTAAAAAAACCGAGAAAGAAAGAGAAAAAAAGAAAAGAAAAGAAAAGAAAGAAAGCGCAAAAAAAACATCTTCGCTTCGTTTCCTTTTTCTGCATTTTCATCATCATCATCTTCTGCTTCTTCTTTTTCCTATTCCCTTATTTACGCTCTTTGATTATGACGACTCATCATCGTGTCTCTGTTTGTCTACCACGTACTTGTTCTAGCCGAAAGGTTCGAGTACTTCGATAATCATCATTAATCAGGCAATGAAATTCATAATAATATCGTTGATTTTATCTATTTTTAGCCAAATTCTCCTTCAATTATCATGGAAACAGCAACAAATCGTAAAGATTCAAAAGAAAATTTAGTAAGAATAATTTGTTTTTCCTGTGTTTAATAATAATTAAATCTGTTTTTTTGTTTTAGTCAAGTACCAATGGAACTCGTTATCCAACACCAATTAAACAAAAAACTTCACGTTTAGATCGCTCATTATCAAGAACTAAAGATGATATTGAAACAAGTATTATACGATCTAACACAGTATCAAGTCTTAGTGAACAAGCTAAACCTGATGAATTAGCTTCTGGTAAAAGAATTTTCTTTGTTTTTTCTTTCTAGAAAGATTTATGTTTGTTTTATATATATAGGCTTAGCGACGATGGGACTATTAAATGATAGTGATATGAATAAAGTAAAACTCTTTTTTTTTCTTTCGATTATTTTAATTTTTAAAAATAATTCAAATTTATTTTTAGCTGAACACAACATTTGAATCATTAGGTTCATCAAACGAATCAGTCGAAAAAAATACGTCTAAAACTGAATCATATAAAGTAAAAAAGAACAAGATTAAATAAACCAATTATTCAATATGTTTATCTGTTTTTAGATGCAAAAACAGTCATATCAATGTGCGAAAAAGCGTATTACATCTGAATTAGCAAATGTACTCAAAGACTCATCTGTTGTTATCGTTAGCGATTGGCTTAAAGTTCGAGGAACATTAAGAGATTGGACTAAACTATGGGCTATACTTAAGCCTGGTCTTATGCTACTCTATCGAAATCCACCATCAAAAGTTTGTTCTTCTATTTTACTGTATCATATTTCATAATTTTCTATTAATAGAATGGTGTTTGGGTTGGTACTATTGTCTTATCATCATGTGAAGGTTAGTTAATTTAGAAAAACAAAGCTTAGAGATCATTGTACTTTTTTATTTTACAAGCTTGTTAATATTATATTTTTAAGAGTATTAGAATATAAGATTGACATGATATAAATAAAACTTCATTGTATGAATAAAAGTACATTGACTTTTTCTTTTTTCGGAAATGACAAAAGAAACTATTTAAGAAACTTTATTATTGGATTTTGTATTATTATCACTCATGTATTTACAATTAGTAACGATGTGTGATCATCATTGTCAATTTTTTCAAAAAATTCCTAACTATGATCAAACTTTATTCACAAGAATTATGAATATTGAAATAGCAAGAAATGCGACGTTTATATGAATTAATTAGATGTTATACAAATCAAATGATCTCGTTTTTTTTGTTTTGCATAAATCCAATAATTGTAACTAATTTATATGCAATAAATGTTGTGTATAAATCACATAGAACTCATAATCATGATTGATATTTTGTCCTAAAAATAGTAATCAAAATGAAGACAAATTTAAAACATAAAATTCTTCTTGTTTTCTTGTTTTGTGAATATAATAAAATTATGTTTTATGTTATATTTTTCTTAGATAGTTTTTTTTTTCTTGCTGCACTTGAGTTCGTCATTATTAACTTCATTAGACAGATTTTGTTATTTTATATTAATTTAGTTTTCTTTTTTTCGCTTGAGCACGTTCTCGTCAATTTTTCTCATAGAATCAATATATACGACTGTTGTTAACTATATATATATATAATGTACGTAAAAGAGGTCATAACAAATCAAAATGAGTTCTTGCAGAGATGTACAAGGCAAATTATTCGTTCAACTGACTATGCCCATCGTTGAATTTTCATGAATTGTGATTATGATTCAAAGCCTTGTTGACATTGGGCACTACACTACTCATCACATAGAGAATAATTAAATGTAAAAGATAAAATTTCAGTGAACATTTTATATTTTCCAACAAAAAAAACACATTCAATTTAAAGCTTGTGCAATAAAGATAATAAATATGAAGTGGTCTAATAAATCGAATTCTAAAAGACTTTACATTCTTTGGTTTATATATCCATATAAGAAATTCATTTATTTTTAGTTATTCAACGTCCATCAAAAAAAACAGGTTTCTGCTTTAAAATTTGGCATCCCCTTGAAAAATCTATCTGGGCACAAAAAGGACCAAATAATGAACAATTTGGTGCAATAACATTTCCACTTCCAATGAATTATCTTATTTGTCGTGCATCAGATGACACAGCAGGTAAATTAAGTATTGTCTTTGAACAAGAAAACTAAATAAAAGTTCTTTAAAAATATATTGTAGGACGCTGTTGGATTGATGCGCTTGAATTAACAATGAAATGTTCAAAATTACTTAAAAAGCCTTATTCATCTTCAATACAAAGTGATGATTTAACGACAAATTCTCCAAATGTTTCAACTCCACTAACAACAGCTGGCGATGGAGCATATTTAACAACAAGTTTTTCAGACAATGATTTTGAATTAAGTCGTATAACAACAAAAGAAGGTTAACTTACTTCTTATTTTCTATCAAAAGAAATCATTAAAAAAGTTTTTTTTTTTTTTGTGCTTTTCCAGAGGATGATCGTATGAGTGATGCAAGTGTTGATGTAAGTAAAGCATCAAGAAGTGGTTCAAGTCATTCAGAAAGTTCTCAAGAACTTCTAAATGATGATGATAATGAAACACCATATGTTGCAGCACCACCAGAAGAATTGGGAGAAGTAAAAAATAAAAGAACTTCCTACAAATAATTATGTGCTTTTTTTTCTTCTTTCTTTAGCTTGGTAATGCTGCACAAACTGAAGAAGTAGCTGAAGAAAATAAATCCCTTATAATGCATCTATTAAAACAAGTTCGTCCAGGAATGGATTTATCAAAAGTTGTTTTACCAACATTTATATTAGAACCAAGATCTTTTCTTGAAAAACTTTCAGATTATTATCATCATTGTGATATTCTTGAAGAGTATGTTTTGTTGTGACTTTTTTCTTTCTATTCCTATAAAAGTCAAATTAATATTTTAGAGCTGTTAATTCTTCCGATCCATTAATACGAATGAAAACAATTGTCAAATTTTATTTATCAGGATTTTACAAAAAACCAAAAGTTTGTTTGATAAGAAAAAAAAACTTCTTATGATATTTTTTTGTTATTATTATTTAGGGTTTAAAAAAACCATATAATCCAGTTCTTGGTGAAGTTTATCGATGTTTTTTTCATAACACAAAGACCGACAGCAAAACATTCTATTTAGCCGAACAGGTAATATATTTTCTTTTTTCCTCATTCGTTCATTGGTTAAACAAAAGTGAGAAAAAGAGAATGACCGATAAACATAGCATAGATCGATTCGTCATTTTCATATACAAAAAATGTTAGTTTTATTCGCACTCATTATCCCTCTAATAAATGCTGAACAAAAAATACGTACATGTGGTACAATGCGTTCATTTTTTTCAACGGAATCACGTATTGTTGGTGGTGCAGCAGCATCAGAATTCGCATGGCCCTGGCAAGTTTATATAACATTAAATGGTATGTTTATATGTGGTGGAACATTAATCGATAGACAATATGTTCTAACAAGTGCACATTGTGTTGCTGGTGTATTATCAAATAATACAAATAATTTACTTGTTCGTGTCGGCGCACATTATATGATACGTGAAGGTTATTATTCTGGTACAAATTATCGTGTATCAATGAAATATATTCATGAAAATTATTATCACCCAGAATACGGACATGATATTGCTATATTGCGTTTAGTTAATTTAGTTAATTTAAGTGATACGGTTAATGTAATTTGTTTACCAACGAGTACAGATTTTAATGTATCAATGTATCAACCAGTTGTTATAACAGGATTTGGTTTACTTAGTGAAATTGGATATGTACCTTATAGATTACACCAAGCAGTTGTACAAGTTTTACCAACATGTGGATATGCTTATAGATGGTTTAATAGTACATTACAAATTTGTGCAGGACTTTTAGCTGGTGGACGGGATACATGTCAAGGTAAGAGATAGATAAAATTTAATAGAAGAATTATTTTTTCATTTTTTTTTTGAATAGGTGATTCAGGTGGTCCATTGGTTTATAAACCACGTAGGACAGATCAATGGATTCTTATTGGTATAACATCATATGGATATGGATGTGCACGTTATTTTTATCCGGGAGTTTATTCAAAAGTTTCATATTTTCTTCCATGGATTAAAAAAATAATTCAGCAGAAATTACAATTATTATGAATTGTTTTTGTTTTTTTCTTTTCGTGTTGTACTTTCTATATTTGTGATGTTTGAATAGAAGAATATGTCTTTTGTTTATATAGATATCGCATCATCCACCAATTACCAATTTTTATGTATCAAACCGAAAAGAAGGTTTTGCTGTGCAAGGCAGTATATTGGCAAGATCGAAATTTTATGGTATATTAATAATGATTTGCTTTTTTGATACAATTATCAATTAAATTTTCTTTATAGGAAATAGTCTCTCTGCTATTCTTGATGGTACAGCTCGACTTACTCTACTCAATAGAGGAGAAGATTATATTATTACAATGCCTTATGCCAACTGCAAAGGTAGTTTCTTTTATATTTGTTGAAAATATCTCTTATTATTATGATGTAATAGGTATTCTAATTGGCAAATTAACCATGGAATTAGGTGGTAAAGTAACAATTGTTTGTGAAAAAACTCGATATTCAGCTGATATTGAGTTTAAATTAAAAGTATAGATCATACAAAATATTTTTTTAATCAATTATTTTAATTTCACATTTTTTAGCCATTTATTGGTGGTCAAGAGCTTACAAATCATATTGAAGGAAAAATACGACTTGAAAAAGATGTTATATATACATTTTCTGGTCATTGGGATGATGAAATAACACTTGTAGATAAAACAACAAATGTTAGTTTAATTTTGATTTAAATTTAAATTAATAAAAAATTTTTATTTTTCAAAAAGGCAAAAAGTGTATTTTGGAGAGTTACACAATCCATTGTTAATTCACGATTAAAACGATATGTTGTACCCATTGAACAACAACAAGATAATGAATCTGAAAAGTAATCAAACTACAGAAAAGAAGATTTGTGTTTATTGTAATTTTTTGTTTTCTCAGATTATGGCAACGTGTTACAACAGCTATTAAACAAAATGATCAAATATCAGCAACCGAAGAAAAAACAATTATTGAAGATGAACAAAGAAAACAAATCAAAGAACGTAAAGCAACAGGTACTGAATGGCATCCACGTTTGTTCAATATTGATCCAAATACTAAACAATGGATTTATACTTATGCTGAGTAAGTCATTTAAAACATATATATTGTTCCTCTTTTTGTTTGGATTGGTGTTCTATAAAAATAGGGACTCTTCATTTTTTTTTGACAATGTATCATTTAAATTTCATTTTCGAATCTGGCAAAATTAATATTTGTTTAGACCTCTTCTTGACAAAAAAACTTGAACGTTATTAAAATTACAATACTTTTCTAAACATGTCAAATGTTGATTTTATTTATTATTTGAAGTCTGAATTGAGTAACGAGGGCAACACCCTAATCGATTCTTACTGTTTGAGTGCATATTCAGTTTACAAGAAGACCTAGGTAAGACTAGACAAATTGTAAAGTAGTTCGTGCTCATTGACATCTGGAGCTGATTTATGATCGTTTTACTTAACGTTCGACAAATTTTTAGATACTTTCTGAAAACTTAAATAATAGAATTTCGCTCATAGATAGCAAAAATGATCATTTGTCACAAAGTTGAGTTTACATCATTGATGATATTCTCTCTGCATTTATGATCCTAACTCAAAAAATTTGTTATTGTTTTTCTAAAGTTGCCAAGACACTAGATACAGTTAATACAAGCAATTATAAATGTAGATGTTTTCTGTGCGTTCTTCGATGACAAGCATACTTAACTGTTGGTTGTGTACATCTTTCAGTGGTATTCTTACTTTCAATGGGTAAAAGCAAAGTATGTGATTTGCTTTTTTGATTATTTTCTCATCATCTATAACTTTTAAAGTTAACATTTAGAATAAAATTATATTTTCGTGTCACAGTCAAACTTTTCATTCATATTAAAAGCATAAATGTAGAAGATTTCAGAAAAATTCTAAAAGTACTTCAAGGTCAATAATGAAGAGTTTTACGGCTAAAAAAAGATTTTCTCTACATTCATAGTCTAAAAGCCATCATTTGTGTCCCCCTGTGACGGCTCCGTGTGTAATCATCTTCATTGTCATCTTCTTATTTCTTCTAATTTGTGTATTTCCTGCTGTGTCCTCTCTTCCTCTTTCTCGATACTTTACATTATATTTATTTGCATTATCTAACATCGAGCTTGCGATACATCTAAGCATCTCACCATGTAGTGTTGTCGCAAATTCACAGCAAGATAGCACTTTTTCATAAGTTCGATCATAATTGTAGAGCAGATATCATAAATAGTGGATTATTTCTAATTGAATACTGTTATGATAGCTGCATTTTGACTATAAATAGATTTTGTTAAGACTAAAATGATAACGAACATATAGTAGACCAAATCTTAATTCAAAAAGAATATATACTTCAATCCTCACAATCTTTTCTTCTCGTACAGAAATACTTCTAATTAAATTATGAAATTGTTTCAAATTATTAATTCATGATAAACTATTTATGTTTAGTTCTCGCCCATGGGATGCTCATAATGATATATCAACATATGAGAATAATTTTATTATCTGTACTCGTACTCGTCATCGTGCACAGAATATAAATCATACAAATCAATCATCAAGTCGAAATAATTCTATAATAAATATTGTCGGCAGAGCATCTGTATTAACTCGTGGTCCATCACCATCATTCAATAATATTGTTGACGATGACACGCAATATATAAAACCAAATATTACAAATCAAACATCAATACTTTTAAAATCTAATGATGATATAACAACAATATTAAAACGTATTGAAACAACATTAAATCATATAAATCAACGACTTGATGTACATGAAAGAGATTTAAATTCTTTAAAAAACAGTCGAATAAAAAATGAATATAATCATATCAATTCTTCTCTTTCATCATATACTCAATTGATTCTTATTATTATCGTTGCAATCATATTAAAATACATCTTTCATTAAGGGTATCTACGTATTTTTTTTGTTTTCATAATATGTGTTAGACCAGTGATTTCATATTGTATCATATCTCTCTCATGAAATCGTTTTTGTTTTTGTTTTGCTCCAGTCCGGTTCCAATGTCTAATGTCTTCTGTTTTTGTTGTCAATATAATTAAAAAAGTAAAAAGACAGAAAAAAAGAAACAAATGATTTGATAGTTACTCATGTTTTCTTTTTTTTATTTATTGTCGAAACAGTTTAAACAAAATAAAATATCACTTGTTTGCAAAATACTTATCATAGAATAAAACGGTTAAAATTAATAGAATGAATATCCATATGGAATGAAATACAATACGACTACGAAATAAACCTTCAGCTTGTCTATCAATTAATTGAGAATTTTTTGTATTTATGTCATCTTTTGATGTTAATTCTTTACCATTCTCTTGAGTTGATAAATTTAATTCTTTATCAGAACAATCAATATCATATTCATATATTGTATTACTACAGCTAAATGCCCAAAAATCTATAAGTTCATCTAATTTACGAGGATATTTTAACCATTCAAGTGCTTGTTCAATTGAAACAAAATAAACATAATGATAATCTTTACTATTTAAAATATATTCAATAAAACGTATTAATGCTTCAAGACGTGTATTATGATGTTCTGAAAGCCAAAATAGATCAAGTTCAATTATAAATGGAGATCGATGACCAAGAGTTAATGATGAATGACGATCAAAATTATATTTAATAAAATCAAAAAATAAATCGACTGTATGTGGTGTATCATCGGGTAAACAAGTTGAATCGGAAAGAGTATGACAAGATGTAGTTGCTAAAAAAGAGCAAAGAACCTCATATTTTACTTTGATTGCATATTCACGAGGGAAATTTTCAGTTAATGATGAATCACTTTTGATATAGGTCATAATTTATCAGATAGATCCTAATGAGACTAGAAGTAGCCTATAGGAATTTTTGATGAGCTATGTTGGCTTTGATGAATTTTCCGAAAGAAACTTTTGCCAGAGTGTGTACGGACCAAAATATTCGAATTTTGATGTATTTATAGCCTATATCATGTGGTCACACTTCAAAATTGCAGTAGCATTTTCTTTTGTCATGCTTAGATAGAGATCGACAAGTTATATTAAGAACAAAAAAAACAATTTTACAACAGTCAGCATTTTGTGTCTATAATTATGGTATCTTAGACTATTTTGTAAAATTACTTTTGAATTTTCCTTATGTGACTTGTCGAGTTCTATCCAACCATGCTGGAAACCAAATGCTGCTGTAATTTTGAAATATGAACGCATGATATAGATTGTAAATACTTTGAAATTCACATATCTTGGTTCATTCATGTTATAGGCAGCTCATGTTTTGAATTAATTAGTTCGACAGAAAGTAGAGCATTCATTTGACATGAATATGATTTATCTCCTTAATTTACAGTATACAATCTTCGATTACTACATCATTTTCAAAGTCAACTTTGTATTTTTGACTTCAACTTTTGCATAAATCAATTTTCAAATGAGATTAGGGAATTATGAAAGCATTATGTTTTCTAGGATCTCTTATTCTTTTACATAGCTGAATTTTTAACATTAATATGTGTGGATAGAAATTAATAGAAAATTAGGCATTTTCATACTGAATAATCTCATCGAAAATTGATTATATTCAACGTCTGAACTCAAAAGTGGGAGCTCTATGAATGGTGTTGACATGTTGTTAAAAAATGCATTAAAAAGGTTATGATCGAAGGAGAAATGCCTATCGATACGAAATCTTCTAGATTTTTTTCTAGGCTCTATAAAGCCTATCGGATGAGATAAGACTTATCTTTAAAGCAATTGATCACTTGGTGAAATACACTCATTAGAAACTAGATGATGCATGATAACAAACAAAAAAGAAAGAAAATGAAATCACCATTTGGATAAGTCCATTCATGTAATGGAAATTGCCAAAGTGCTTCGATTGTTCTATTTGAATCATCACAATTCATACAATCTGTTTGATTAAATGAATAATTAAGTGTAAACGGCCATATGAAATTTGATGATGTAAATAACATTGATGAATCATAATGAAAATGAAAATTTCTAATATGTTCAAAATGTTTATTATCATCGATTTGTAAATGTGGTACACGAAAACCTTTTAAATGTGATTGGTGAATATGTGATTGTTCTATTAGATTTGACCGTTGTTGTTTTATTTCACGTTTCCAATCATTATTAGACCAACGACGCCAATTATTTTCATCATAACAATTTGTCAATGGACATCTTTGAAAGAAAGATTTTGATTGAAAAACAAAACAAAAAAAAAGAACGATAGATAATTGATGTTACTTATTACTAGAAGTAGTCATAGCTATTTCATTATGATTATCAAAAAGACGTTGAACTAGACAATATTCTGTATAGTTATCATTAACAAAAAATGTTGATGATATAGGGCATTTATTTGGATTTCGATAAGTTGGATTAAGAATTGAACGAATTGAATCAAATGTATATTTATTTAAATTACCAACAAAAGTTAATAGAACCTAAAAATAGTTAAAAATCATGTTCTTCAATAGTTAGCTTATTATGTATAGTTATTACAAGTTGAGGTATATCAGTGATGTCTAATGATGTTGGGTTGCTATTACTAATAGCACATTGACAACAAGGTAATTGACAATTATTTTTATTACATATTTTATCAATACAAAATACAGAAGTCAATGTTAGAAGACAGAAACATGAGAATATTAAATGCAAAAAAATCATCTAAAGAAAATTCATTATATGTAAACGCTATTCTTTATTATAAAGTATCGTGACATGTATATCATATGTATTTATCGATTAGTCCTTGATCCCTAGAAAAAGAAGAAAGTAGTAATTCGACGTCGTATGTTTACATTTATTGAAGAGAACAACAAACAGTATTTTTCTATTTTTTGATTGGTGCAAAAATAAGGGTTAAATAAAAGCGATTTTTCGTTCTGTCGACGTCTAAATAAAGGATTTTGCATAAACAAATCGTCTCCCGTATACTAATATTAATAAAAATATTTCAATGAGAACAATAAGTTTATTAAATACGAAAAGTTAAACTATAAATACCTTTGGGAATTCACTTCGATACAAGACATAATGAAAAAGATCAAAATAAATTCTTTGAAACTAAATTACATATTTATATAGTGCAAAAGTCATACAACACTTGAGGAAAAAGGGAATAGCTAACACTAATGTTGCTCCACTTATTCAAAAAAAAATATAACTACAAGCATTAAAGATATAAATACACTAAATGAATCGAATATGAGCGGAAAACATAAACCAACGTCAAATCAATCTATCAATATCTTAGTTATTCTCCTTTTAATGTTATATTAACCATTGAAACTCGAACAAAAAACAAACACAAAACTAAGTGTCTATTTTAATGAGTACCAAAATTAAATGTTTTATCAATAACTTTCTTATTTCTTAATAATAATAATAATTCATATCCTAATGTAGCTGCTGCTAAACTTGTTATATTTCCATGATCATATAATGGTGAAACTTCTGTAATATCCATTCCAACATAATTTACTGAGCCAAGTTTACGTATAATAGCTATAGCTTGTGCTGTTGATAGACCACCACAAACAGGTGTACCAGTACCAGGAGCAAATGCTGGATCAAGACAATCGATATCGAAAGTTAAATAAGTTGGATTATTGCCAACACGTTCTAAAATTTGTTCAACAACATTTTCAATTTTATGTTGATGAACCCAATTAGCATCAAGAATTTTAAAACCCAGTGTATCATCATTATGTGTTCGAATACCAATTTGAATGGACGTTTTTGGATCAACAAGACCTTCTTTTACAGCATAATAAAGCATTGTTCCATGATTCATAGCATTTGGACCTTTCTCTGGCCATGTATCACAATGAGCATCAAAATGAATGAGAGATAATGGTTTTTTATGATGAGCAACATGAGCTTTTAATAATGGATATGTCATAAAATGATCACCACCTAAAATATATATATGTTTTCATCAATATCCTAAAGAAAATTTCACTAACCTAGAGAAAATAGAAATGCATTTCGATCTATGATCTTTTTAGCATGTTCTTCAATGGCAGTTGGAATTGTTTTCGGTTGACTATGATCAAAATAACAATCTCCATAATCAATAACAGCTAAATCTTCAAAAATATCAATTCCTCCAGGATATGATTTAAGTTCAGGTAATTGTACAGATGCTTCACGAATCGCTTTAGGTCCAAATCGAGCACCTGGGCGAAACGTTGTTGCCAAATCAAGTGGAACACCAGTAATAGCAACATCAACATGATTTAAATTACGTGTATAATTACGACGAAGAAATGATAAAACACCGGCATATGTTTGTTCAATAGTTGAACCGATTGGATCACTTCTACGTATAGCTCCATCACCACGTAATTTAGAATATATACCAGGTATAATAGCAGCAGGTTTTGAAGAATCTGTAGAAGTAAATCGACATGGTAATCGAAATGTACACAATAATAAACGACGACTTGTTGCACCTAACATTACTTCGTCTAGGTCAAAGAATGATAAAATACAAGTTTTGCTTTTGTTTATTTATTAATGATTTGTTTCGTAGATGGCGCTTTGCACCAATCACAACAAGTTTTTTTTTTCATTGGTTTCTACGTTAAGTCGAGTTTTTCCACAAGAAACACACACCCCCTCACAAGCATACACAGCACGAAATGTGTATATGATTGTAACTGTGTATGTATTGTGTAGAAGCAGCATGGAATTTAAATTTTCTCTTTACAACTTACATCATAATTTCTTCGGCAATGGAAAATTTCAATAAAAATAACGAATTATATTCAAAAATAATATTTACAATTCTAAATAGAATTTCTCATATATCATTTAATATAAACGATTAATTCGAATAGTTAAACCATGTTAAACTGAAAAAATTTTACACCTACACAT